CACACACACACACACACACACACACACACACACACAAAACAAAATAAGTATTTATGATGCTTCTAAAATTTTGCACTGAATTTGTTTCATAGATTCATCTGTAGAACATTAATCGTGTCAGGACATTTAGAAATAAAAATGCCATATATGCTGAAAAATATGAAAAAAAATCAACTTTAAAGAGTCAATTATTTTCTTGAATTCAATTATTTTCATGGTTGGAGGAACATTGTTGTTGCTGTAGTTGTTTTTGTTGTTGTCACCTCCACCAAGGACGTTGTGATTTCACCCCAGTTCGTTTGCTCGATTGTTTGTCAGCAAGATTTCACAAAAACTACTCAACGGATTTGCATGAAATTTGGCAGAAGGACGTGGTTCGGGTCAGAGAGAGACCCGCTACATTTTGATGTGTATACAGGAATAGTTTTCACCTTCTTTAACATTGTGAAATGCTTTTTTTCTTTTGACATTTTCACAGATTTTTCAGGCACTCATTTATGGATCCTGATGAAAATAATCAGAGTGTGTGCGATGTGGTTCACCTTGAGTGAATTTAAGGGAACTGTTGGGCCCTGGCGGAGGTATTAACCTTACTTACTGCCGTTCTAGTTGTTTTAGTTGTTGTTTTTGATTGGAAACAATGTGAAATCCAAATAATTTTCCATTGTGGTTGGGAGCATGAACAATAAAGAACCAATTATCTGGGGAAATTACTGATATCACAGTGATAAAAATATTGGTTTCTAACAGCACTGCTATGACGAGAGCTTACCTCGTTTAAATTTATTCACGGTCTTGCTCTGTTTACTCATTTTCCTCAGTATGGCTTCTTTCTCCTCCACCTCCAGAGCAAGCTGGGAAAAAATGTCTGAGATAAGGCACACTGGTCTGCACACACACACACACACACACACACACACACACACACACGTACTTGCTCCCTGAGTAGATCCTGCTGTGTGATCAGATCCTCTCGCTCTTGCTCCAGCTGCAGCTTCTCGGCCAGCAGACCGTCCACTGACGCCTGCAGCTCTGACACAGACACAAAGCAGCTGATGATGAGTTCAAGACACAATCACTGAGCACTAATCACCAATACATGATCAGAGCACGACTCGTCATTCCGGGCCGACTGTCATCAAAACCTGATTCCAAATTTTTAAAGGGCTCCAATCCTTAAAAGCACCTTGTAATGGTTGTGTTGAAATTTGTGTCATTATTATAATGATATATATATATTCATTTATTAAGCTTTGAATCAGGTGAATTCCCATCATGAGTAGTTCGGACTAACCAGCGATCTTGGCCTGACTCTCCAGCAGCAGCGTCTCCTCACCACCGTCGAGATCCTCCACATCACTGTTAACTGTGGGGTCAGAATCTGGGTCAGAGGTCACATCGGCCGCGTTTTCAGGCAGCTCGGAGATGAGCGGCATCACCATCTGGCTCCTCCTCTTCAGGGCTTTGTTCTCCTTGGTAACCTAGGCAACAGAGGAGGTGATGGTGAGCGGCGAAGATGCTGGTGTTATTTGTTTGATTGATATGAAAATGAGAAACAAAGGTGAGGTGAGGCTATATTGAAAGAAGTAAAAGGAAAGACACGAGTCAGCAGACACCTTCACAGCCAGAGCCTCAGCACTCTCCCTACATGACCGTTCAATCTGGAACTGGAGCTCCAGTACGCTCATCTCTCTCAGGAGCTGATTGGAGACTGTAAACGAAGGGAGGCAGGTTGTTAGTCAAGGTCATTTCAGGAAAATATAGAAGTGATGAATGATTTGAATTAAAAAACGACTCATAATGAAGTTAAAACTCTAAGTTAAATATTCTGTCCTGGAGTTGGGGAAAATAAAATAAGAAGACAGATGTGATTTCTCACCTTCCTCCAGCTCAGACAGTTTGTGATTGGCTTCATTCCTTTGTTTTTCCAGGAGCTCAAACTAACAGCCAGCCAACCAACACACAAAAGAAGAAGCAGGAGAGAGAGATCAATTAAAAACCAACAAACTGACAGTCACAGCTCCACAATCACATGTATCTCATCTAATCAGGTTTGAGCACCTTTAATCTGAAATACTTTGGTTACTCTAATCATTAATTCCTTTCTCTGATTAAACACTGAAGGTTGGGATAAGTGCTGGCAAGGTAACAGGATCCGCTGGAGCTGGATATTTAATGTTTCCTGCTGATGATTGTCTCTAATGCACATTAGAAAGTGTCTTTGATTAACGAGTGTACCGCCTGTCTCTGTCAGTGATACCTGAATGTCTCCCTCGTCCTCGGAGGATAAATCACTCTCTCCATCACACCCTGTGGGAAACAAACAGATGTACTGTCAAACCAGAGAATGTAGACAACAGACAGCTCAGAGGGAGTCGACAAAAGCCCGAGATTCTCACATCCTGTCAGAGAGCCTGAAGAGGAACTTCTTCTCGAGGCCTTCTGGAGGAGGTGGGCCAGAGATGTACAGGAAGGGAAATCAACAATAAACTTCCACTTTCCACCACCACACTAGTTTCCAGTTTCTACTTCACCTTCTCCCACTACACGAGAGCTTTATGGTTCACACAATGCAACTCGACCGCCACCAATTCGGCTGGAGATTCAGGCTCGTTGAGCTCGAGACAATAAATGCACAAGCTCATAAATCCACTATGATACTTTTTAAAATGAAAACGATTTCCTTCCAGATCAACGTTTTAGCTCCAGGTCAGAAATAATCCCTCTTTTAGAAACTGCAGCAGTCACCGTGTGACTGAAAGAAATCTCATGATGAAGTCCTACCTGCAGCTGCACAGCCTTCGGTCTGGACCCACATCCTGTTGTCTGCCTGCTCTTCGGTGTTTTAGCTCCCGATTAAACAAACTTAAGCAGAATATTTCAGCAGAAAAAGGAACCTGCTTTCTCTTTGAGCAGCTCTGTTCTTACAATGAGGGAAGCAAGTGGGAATGTGTGCTTACACCCTCCTCCACTTTCACAATAAAAAAAAAAAAGGGAACTTCTTCCTCACGTTGACTAAAAGACAGTTTCGATCATCATCATCATCATAATGTGGATTTCAAGCTAAATGAGAAAGTGTGTTGAGGAATGTGTTTCTTTGCTGACGTTATACTATTGATCGTGTTTGTTTGGTTTTGCTTTGCTCTTGAAGATGCCACTAAACTCGAAGGGGAGGAGGTGAGTGAACTTTTCCCCCCCTTTGTATATACAGTGAAAAGAGGGAAATGTAGCCGCTGTCCATTCATGTGGTCTCTGAGGGACGACACTGTCTCCGTGCTACAAGATCAATGTCACTCAAGCTGCCGAGGCGCAGGAAAAACTGCTTTTATTTCTCTATCAGCATCTGAGCTCCGAGTTCGTGACCTCGGAAACATCCCACACCTGCCATGGGAACCAAATTCTGGGCGATAGATCGGGAGAGGAAGTCGGGTGGCAGCGGAAATGTTGATGACACACATTCCTCCACTATGAATAATTTAAAAACTTCGAATTTCTCATCCCTCAACCCTGATTTATTCATTGGCCCACCTTCCAGGAGTTGATCTCTGGGAGTACGCCCAGAGCTCGTACAGGGTTCAGTACTTCTTCCATTTAACTCAGAGCTGCGTCTCCCAACACTCTCTGACTTTACTACTCTGTCTGTGGGACACTGTATTTAGCAAACATTACTTAAACAGGAATAAATTGTGAATTTATTGTGGGACTATGTTCACCTGTGGATTAATACACATTTTATTAAGTATTTACAGCAGCAGGTAAATGTTATGAGCTGTCAAATTAAAATAAACAGGAACTGAGTCTCTGAGTGCAGCAGCGCTACAGCGTTTGTTAATGAATGAAACGTGTCCTTGATGTAACACACATGCTTTGCAGAGAAATAGCTGGATGGATATTGTTCGAAATCATTTCAGACCCACATGTTTTTACATTTAGACAACAACCAAAGACAGGAAATGAAGATCGACAACGTGTCTCCACAAAATGAAGCTAAAGTATCCTCGATTCTGCTGCTGCCATCTTGGCCTTTTGACGTCATTAGGAGAGTGTGTGCAGTGGTGATCGGAGAGTGGAGCCAATCTCAAGTCAGCCGTGATGTTTCCATCCACTTTTACAACAAGTAGCTAATTAAACCTGAACCGGAACACTTGAACATTCAGTGGTATGATAAGAACTACCTGAAATGACAGAGAACATCATTTCAGAACTTTTCTTTTTGACTTTTTAGATCGGACTATGTCCCATCTACTATCACGGAGAAGACAGGGTTTATGACCTATACTGCAGACAGCCACCAGGGGGCGATCGAGTTGATTTGGCTATAGGGAGCTGCCATATCATCTTTACACGCATGTCAACAACTCTTTTCTAAGACTGGATAGAAATGTCGTGTCTAATTCTAATTCTAATGGTAAAGTATTTTATC